CTGGGGAGGTCAGTCTAGCAGACACGGAGAACACTATCAAACAAAGGCTCGAGGTAAGCCTATGGAGAACCATGTCACTTTGAAAGACCTCATCAGATACGCTTTGGCGACGGTGGGACGAAGTCTATGCGGTGTTTGCCGATTGAGGGGACGAACGGTCTGCGGGCATCCTATGGGAACTTCCTGTTACAAGCCAAGTGTAGTGGCCTTTTTACGGAGCTACTGTTTGAGGATGAAATTAGTATGATGGCATTCGCTGTGGAGTGGGCAGGATACAGACCGATGGAGGTAGGGGGTCGGGCGGACGCTTAGTTGTACTGTGGTGGTTGGGGTCAGTGTTGGAGGAATATATGTTTGTTTACCTCAGCTGAGCTTGGGAGTTTATATACGGCTGTGTTTAGAAATGATTGAGAATCTCGCGAAATTTTGGTATTGTCAAGAAGATATGCAGTGTGGGAAAGTATGCACATGTGTTGGTGACAATATGGAAATTCTGAGGGAATTTTGGGGAGTCCTTGTTGGTCTTCTGTACACTTCTACCGGAATTGGTATGTGAACTCAGCTGAGGAGAGCGAATAAATATTCCCCCCAACACATATGTTATCGATCCCCACTGGTTTTGTGGTACTGTCAGGAAGAGCTGCAGATTGGGTTCCGAGACAGTGCCACAGAAGTGCAAATCCAACCGAGAGGCGTTAATGTGGCTACGGCTTTCCCCCTAGGGATGGCTTATGCTGAACGATGGGCATCCTATTTGGACAGAACAGATCGCAGACTCAAGTCGAGACGCATCTCGGTGAGTTAGATGGCTTAGCAGTGGAGAATAGATGGTATCAGATTCATATCCCCTCTGCTTACATACGTTTCACAGAGTCTTTCTATTGTCACCGTGTGAAAGAGCCTGTGCACTCTGTCGAGGCTAGTAACAATGGCGGCACTCAGTTTGGTGTGACGGCTTACTGTGGCCTTATTGGGTATGATCTGAGAGAGCCGGACTTGGGAAAATGGGATCTCAAGTTGACGGTTGTTTTCAAGGATGAGAATAAGGCGGTGACTATGGCGAAGTGGTGGGGAGGATACTGGGGGGTGAGTCGGTGTGGGATGATCTTTGTGTAGAGAGAATCATATGATGTTCCCGGGGGGAACTCATTTTGAAATTTCCATATGGCTAGGAATACATGGGAATTTTATGTGAAGTGGCGTAATTCTCTGTGGTGAACCCAATAGGCGCGCTATGCGGTAGTTGTACAATATATTTCTCGCTAGTGTTTTTCATATCACGGGTGAAACTCTATTTTTCGAACAGTTTGCCATGTAATTGTCATCACATTATAAATATTTTTTGGGAGGCGTTATTTCTCACGGCTGGATGGGTGCCTTTTCGTGTAGATACCAGGGCGGGACTGTAAGCACTTGGAAATAGGGGGCAAGGGTGTGGCTGGGGATAACATCATCGCTTCACTGGAGATAGATCCGTTCTTTAAGCCAGCGAAGATCGTCGGCAGTACTATCACGGTGAGGTCCCGGGTTCGATCCCTGGCATTGGCATTTTTTCTTTGATGGGTTTTCATGTAGACGCCTGATGGCAAGGACTACCTCTGTGATGGTGTACAAGATATAATCAGCTATATACGCAAGGACTATGCGATTTCCCTTTCGTGTGGCGGAAAGCCCTCAACCCTACACTGTGAGAGCCGGAGTGGCTCATCTCAGTTCGCGATGCAATTTGGTATGTTGAGGGAAGTTAAGGTAAGGAAGGGGTGCTCCTAGTGGCGTTTTGCTAGAGTGATTTTCAGTGTGGGGAAATATATACGGGATCAACTAGGGGTGTTGGTGACAATATGAAAATTTGGAATTTTTTGGTGGTTTTTTTAAAGTTCTACCATAAGTCGCGCATCAAATTGCGTAATATGATCAACTACGTGTGTTGGTGACAATATGCAAATTTGGGGAATTTTTTTGAAATTTTTGTTGGGTTTTTTGTAAACTTTTCCCCCAAGTCGTGCATGAGTTGGTCTAGTGTAGTGAGGAAGCTCACGAGACATATACTCTGTTTTTATCAGATCGCTATGCATGAGGAATTGCTGGGAAAGTGTCCAGATGTGTGGGGCGATGGTGTGACAGGAGGCTCCTATGGCGCTGCTGAGGCTATGCTCCTCATCAAGGACGGCATCAAAGGTGTTGCTGATAGATGGGTGCAGGTGAGTAGGATCGTTGCTAAGCTAGTCTTCAGTCGAGTTGGCTGAATAGGTGGTTACTGGATGAGCAGTGATTCTATCAGTAGTTTATAATATGATTAAATACTAGTACAAAATTGAATGCTTATATACAATGGAGTTTCACCCGTGATACGAAAAACGAATGTTTTGCAATTCACTCCGCAGAGTGGATGAAAAATTGTGTTATCGGTTGTCGCGGAAAACATACACGTCGTACAATTTTCATAGAGTATTACGCCACTGCACGGTGTATAGCCACACATAATCTACTTTTTGGAGCGGAGATCCTCTAGCAGGCAAACAGTAGTATGGCTGTGAGCTCAGCAGCTTTAAGTGAATGGCTAAGACCTGGTTGATGTACGGAAATGAATTCACATGCATAGATTTCATCAATTTTTGTATCCTTTTTATGTACACTTATCAATAGATGAGATAATTCTCCTGCTCAGACTTCCACTGGCAAGTCGACTTCATGTGAAGCAGTGGAGCCACACATGATGTGGGTGAATGGCAGGTGAGTACTAAGGTTACCATTGTTGTTGAGGTTGCCCCTAGGTATGTGTTCTCGAGTCAGTGTGGAGGAAAGAGTACGAAGATTGGGTGTAGTGCGAAGAAAACGGCTGAGGACTTCGCGCTGGGATGGGGTGACACGGAGATTTCTGATGTGAGTGTCACCCCTGTTGGGAGTGTATTCATTCACATTTTCATTGGGGTTTCACCTGTTTTACGTAAAATGGCGTGATACGTATTGAGAAACCCGGATATTCGCGGTGATATGCAGC